TTTTCTCCAGTCTTTAGCTTGAATGTCAGTAAGTTCAGTTTTTCACTTTTGAGAAACAATAATAATGTTTCAGATAGTTCTGTTCGGTTTATTTTTTTGTTTCCTTTGAGGGGCAATCATATTACTCGCAGTGGCACAATAGGAGGTCAACATTGTTCTCTCATATTCTTCTATTACTTCTCTATGTGACATCATATGTTCCTAAGTGAAACCTTAAACCTGGATCTATGCTTATCACAGTCTCCACGACCACGAGTGGATAGAAAATGTGTTTATTTTGATTCCCTATAGATAGGCTTTCTGGATGTTGTCAGTGGAATTGTCTATGAGCAGTCATGGGCCTGAGATTGATCTTTCTTGATTAAGATTGCACAATAGATTAGGCATAAACCACATTCCACTAGTTTTAAAAGTAGTGGGGTTTATAGTCCATAAAGCTCAAGTTGAACTTTCAATTTGAACCTAATTATTAATCTTCTGGTTCATGTTGAGACTTGTGGTATATATGTGTTCATTTGCGTTGATGTGCATGAATCCCTCAGTAAGACAGCTTCTTGTGTTCAAAAACTTCCAAATAAGAACATACTCACTGTTCGCAGCATAAACTCTATTACTGGTACTCATGTTGGTCTCCGGTATGTGTCCTGTTTAGGTTGTAAGTCTATTTTTTAATATATTTTGAATTGTGTAACCAAGGGATATTTTCTCCATCCAAAAGCTCCTGGAATCAGGCATGAGTTAGAAATGGTACAGAGCCCATGGTTTTTGTTACTATGGACTATTTCTGGTCATGTGAGATGCAGGACATTATGAAAGACATTCCCAACACTATCTTGACTTTAGATGTGGTATATAAGTGGAGAGATTAATTTGACATAGGTGATGGGATGGTGAAACATCACATCCAATGGATCACGTCTAGGTATCTGTTTTTTGGAAATCTCATCCATGTTTCTGTCCAAAAGAATGTCACGGACTGGACAGTTATGATTGCCTGATCCTGTCAATTTCTGGTGCAGAAGACTTCGTTCTGCGACCCATCAACTGACTTGTTGCACTTCCATGTATGCCATTTTATCAGTCATCCAACTGATACAACAAATTTCTGGTCTGTTTGACCGGGACTCTAGATTCTTTCCTTCGTAGATCCTATGCTTTGCGATATCTGTAGTAATGGAAGTATTTACACTGAAAGTAAAAAATGATTTTTTGATGCCTGCTTTATTGTTTGCAAGTTTAATATGAGACCGATCAGCATATATCACTCTCTCTTATGGAGTATATGTGGATGTTCTTTCCACGTAAAAGTGTACAAATTAATTTCTGTATGTGAATTCAACAAAGGATTTTGCTAGCCCCACTCTCCCCTCTTCGGGGAAAGAGGACAATGATATTGTGGTGGGGCCCACAACTGCTTGACTCAGAAAAATTGTCTTCTTGCCCCTAAATGGGGAGAGTGTGCAGTAGGGGGAGAGTGAGACCGAGATCTGCCCCTTCAATGAAATATAGAGCTTGTGGTCCTGTGGGTGAGTTTCAGACAAGAGGCGCAGTTTCATAGTTCATCGCTTGGTTTAAAGAAACAAATATTGGCCTAATTCTCACTGAATGTCATTCTACCACAGATATGTCATTAGATTTTCTGCAAATTTGATTTCTGAAATCAATGATTTTGTGGAAATCTGTCTTCTCTTAAAAGTATGGCCTATATGTTGGCTTCAGACCCATGATGGCAATTTGGTTGGATGTGCAAGAAGTTTCTGTAGATAAAGCTCTACATGGTGTCATGTGTCTAGTTCCATTTTGTTCTTTTTAGCAGGTTAACATACAAGTTCCTAAAGGTCATGCAAATCTTGTTTTTGTTGTGGTTCTCCTCCCAGAGGGCTAGGTGGTGACACTTTCCAAACGGGCACCTATTCCTCTCCAGTTGTAACCGGTTTTGCCAAAACCGGTTACACCCCTGAGGTGGCCACATGTCCCTTTTGAGACCTCTTAACTATGGTTAAGATTCACTCACCTCTAAGGTTCACCCACCAATCCTTGGTTTTATTAAAAAAATATTTCAAAAATTTATTAACCATGGTTAAAATTTACCAACTCTTAGGGTTAATTTATTTTAGATTTTTTTTTCTAAAAATCAAATATAGTTGGGTGAACCCTAAGGGTAGGTGAATCTTAAGCACAGTTAAGAGGCGCAAAAAGGGTCATTTGGTGACCACAGGGGAGTAACCGGTTTTGTAAAAAACCGGTTACAACTGGAGAAGATCACCAGTCTTCTAATACATTGCTGGGCATCCAGCAATTGGTTGCTGCTGGAAAGCTTCGTCGTGGTGTTCCACTTGCAGATGTTGTGACTGTTAAAATGAGCTACGGCAAAGTTTTTCGCCATGCTTTATCATCATTTGTATGTATCTAACCACCAAACTATTTAAATAAAATTTACAATTCTGTTGCTGTTCTCTGTGTTCCCTTAAATCAGCAAGCATTTCTATCAAATGAAATAAATGGAACTCTTGGGTAGACCACAAGGACGGTCTGCCATCAACACAAGGATAGAAATTGTGCACATGCAGGGAGAGGGACGCCATTCAATGGGCCCTCCCACTTAGGACGTACCATATCTACAGGCCCACCTGGATGATTCTCTATTGGTTTCTTTGTGACAATCAGGAAAAGGTATCATGAAAGTATGGACAGTCTGTGAGAAAATGTGGAAGAAGCAGTTATGATCACCCCGAGGTGGTCTTTCTATGGTCCAGATTTTTTAGGAGCCCTTTAAATGGTGAATGTGTTCCATGTATAGCATTTTGCATGTGGTGGACCGCCCTTGTGGTCTAACCAACTTCCATGCAATTCTTAACAACGAAGTTGCTGCCTCTCTACAAGCAACATAGAGTGTCAGTAATGGAATTGGTTTCTGCTATATTTTGTTTATAATACAAGTCCCGGTAGTTATGTAAAATGCTTTTACCAACTACTATTAAGTAGTGAGCTATATGTTCCTGCATGTGTGAAGTGGGTGTTGATACGGGTTTTGTGGTGTTTCAGCTTATGAATGGTGCCTCAAGAACAACAGCTGGATAACGGGATCCTGGTGATGTTTTCGGGTTGAGATTTTTGCCTGCCTGTCGAAGATTATGGATTATGATTACTGATTCATATGCAATCATGTAGATTTCTCTCATTTGCAGATGAGTTTCTCCACTTAAAACTGTAAATCAATTTATTATTTTTCTTACATACATGGCGCTGTTGGAATATTAATTTTTGGGTGCAAATCCTCTCCAGTTATAACCGGATGTGGCACATCCGGTTATAACCCCTAGAGGTTTCCACGTGTCTCCTTTGACACCCCTTAACCGTTGGTAAGGTTCACCCACCCCTAGGGTTCAGCCACCTATTTTTGGTTTTTTTTTTAAATATTAATTCTATTTTTAAAATTAAAAAATTATTTTTAATATTAAAAAAACTTTAAAAACATATTTTTAATTTTAAAAATAGAATTAATATTTTTTAAAAAAAACCAAAAATAGGTGGGTGAACCTTACCCACGGTTAAAAGGTGTCAAAGGAGACACGTGGCGACCTCTAGGGGTTATAACCGGATGTGCCACATCCGGTTATAACTGGAGAGGATTTGCCACCTTAATTTTTTTGTACGAATTCAATGCCATACATCCATTTATCCAATATATATATATATATATATATATATATATATATATAATAAATACAAAGGGTAAACACTGGAATTGTTGATACCAACTTGTGCATTTCTTATGTTCAGTCTGCTGTTTAGCCGTTTCTTAGTCTCAGATAGAAACCATCTCCTTACCTCTGGCCATATATTCCACTGACCACTACCAAAATGTATATGGGGTTAGCTAATTTCCCATTTTAATTCAGGAAATGAAGAGTGGGCAAAACTTGATCATTTACCCGTGATGTGATATCAATTAGCTAGTATTCACTACGGACATGGCGCACGTGCATGGTTTAAGCCATTTGATCTAACTCATCAATCCATCTTTGTTTTCCTTGTAATTGTCGACTGGATCACCGTCCGTGTAAGATAATCTGTTGCTAATCACTATGTGGTCCAGCATTACGGAAACACTTGGATTAGTCGATGGAACCCATCATGTATCGATCAGTGATCAGTGAAGCCATGGAGATTGTTATGGAAATGGGTAAATATGAAACAGGGAACTGTTTGATACATCTGGGGTGGGGTGGGATGGGGTGGTTCAAGGCTTTCTTTTGCTGAAATTACCAGCAAGATATGCAACTGCAAGTGCACGAAATGCAGGCTTATTATCCATATCTTAAAACTAAATCCAGCTATGGGAGTCAACTAAGGTGAAGAGAACCCACTAAAAACTTCTTTACGGATGGATGCTCATATGGGCCCATCCGATTGATTAATCAGTAAACCAAATCTGCGAGATTTAGTCGCAGCATAATATAATGCTTCCTGGAGATTTGTTTATCTTATGGTATATTGTCTTATTTGTATGCATCTTTATCTAATGCGATTAATTCATTTTTATTTGTATTTTCTTGGATGCAGGGGACATACTCACCTTCTCCTTGAGGGTTGGGGCATAAGTCTCTTCTTCTTTTTATATATTTTTTTAACCTCTAGTACAGATTTCCTCTCTTTAATTTAATTTAATTTTGAGTCGGTCTATGGTACTCCCAAATATACTTCCTAATCCTAACTGTTTATAACCAACCACTAAGGGTCAGGATTTGAGTTGTCTAATTTTATCTTTTTTAATGTCACATCAGCTCTGATCCTAACCTTTAAATAATTGAGATAAGTAGTTAGGATTTGAGAGTATATTTGGGAGTACACTTTGGGAGCTTCCATAGACTAATTCCTTAATATCTCCCTCACAACTCCCAACTTTGGCAAACAACGGGACAAATATGTCATCTTCGAAAAATATAAAAAGTAAATCCATCCCTAGCACGCCATAGAATGCTTCTCAACTCATTGAACCGACCTTAGCTCAAATGGAAGAGTAAAGGATTGCGTCAGGGGTTTGCCTGTAATGCCTAAATCCTTTGGTTGCCGGTTTGAATCCGGCAGGTCATGGTAATATCATTAAAAATGTAATGGTGACTAATTTTTTTTTTTATTAAAGAGGAAGAGAGAATACAAAAATTGATCGGTAGCAATAGTATTGTCAGGGTATCGAACCGGTAGAGTGGCCAGTTCCACCGTGTACTTTTTGCAAAAAGTATTTTTTTCCTAATTTTTCCCCAGGCCTGACCTACCACTGGTTCTACTGGTTTTGACTGGTTCTGGCCGGTTCTTAAAGAATACCGGTTTTGAGGGTTTTGGGAACCGGCAAGGGATTATAATTCTGATTATACATATTGTTAGAAGATTATATCTTTCAAGAGAGACTCCTTTAATAGCAGTGTCCCAATAGCAGTGTCCCTTTAGAGATTACATCTTTAGAGAACTTACATGGTTTCCTCCATTAGAGATTATACCCCTTAAAGAATACTTACAATGTCCCTTTAGAGATTATATCTTTGAAGAGAACTTAATTGTTTTCTTCACTCCACCCTTACACTTGACTTCCTTCAGTTGGTATAGGAGAGTAACACTGACTCAACACTCAGACTAAGACAGTCAACACTCAGACTAAGACACTCTTACAAAGTTTATTGACACTCGACTAGACTGAACTCTCAAAACATGCTCCACTTGAGTTGGTTTTTGAATCTCCCTGAACGCAAGTAAGACTCCTCCTTTAATAGCAGGAGATCATGGACTTCAAACTCTATTAAGTCCAACATGGATTTCAAAGCATTTTAAATCCACTTAGCTGAACCATGTCCTTCACGTCTTCTTTATGTTTTGTTTGCCCTTTATAAATTTGTATTGCTTTTCCTTGCATCTGTTGGGATACCAGTATGCAAGAGATATTGGACTTGTAATTCTGATTATACATACTGTTAGAAGTTTATTTTCTGATTAGGTGAGCTCTGTTATGTATCCTTTTTTTTTGGTAAGACCGTTATGTATTCTATAAACTGCTATAGTTTAACAGATTTGTGGATTTCCAAAGTGACTTACCATGAGACACATAACGTTTACTCGGGTCTTTTTATAAAAGGATAATGGGATAATCACGCTATTTATTTTTTTTTTCGGTTAAGGCAACTACACCACCTCATTGATTTAAAATCACTCATTATCCTTTCCTAGTGCCTTTAATTTAAAGTGTAGCCTTGAAGTAGGATTTTATTCCCCCTTTGCAAATCTCAGATTTGGTGCTTGTTCACCTTGTTGAAATTTGCATAAATTACTAGAGTGCCAGCGCGAGACGCACTTAGTGGGTTTTTTTTCCAGACACAGCGTGGTGTTGCTACCCATAATAGGAGATGTGCTGCCACCTGTTGCCACCACCTTGTGTCCGGGGAGGCCTGTGACTGATGCTAGCATTTCTGAAATTAGTATTAACATCCGGATTTGATGCTTGGAACCTCCACATGGTACTCGAGACGAAGAAATTGAGGTTTTACTGCACTAGGTAATAGGTATAGCACTTAATGCAACGTCGCTTAATAGCTACGATTTTAAAAAAAAAAAATGTATATTCATATTATGATTACTTAAATCATTGCCAAAAGTCTAGATGGCTAAGGTAACCAATGATATGCTTGAAAATGTAATTTATTAAAACGTCTTTGGTTTGATGGTGGATGAATCAGTAGTAATCGAAGTTCAAAGATTTTAATAGGTTGATTAATAGAGTTCAGAAGTGTGGACGAGCCATGTGTAATTTGCATTCTCCATTTATTTATGATAATATGTTAATAATAGTCTTTTCTAAAAGTTCTTCCACAATGAGGTCGAACCTTTGCATGTCAAAGCAAAAAAAAAAAAAAATGTCCAAGGAGCATCATTTATAAAATAACAATATGGAATCATGTCAGAATGTTCCGAGTGCCCATTTTGTTTGTCAATGCCAAAATAAATAAAGGGGATGGCTAGCCAAAGTCCATTTTATCGAAACATGTACATCTAGAGTTCATATATAGAGATAAGAATGAGGAGCCCATGAGTTGGCCAAGATGGCTTTCAATAGAAGCAGGAAAATTCTGTTTGAAAGACCAATTGCCAGTGTAAAAAGATCAAAATTTGATCGTCCAAACCAAACATTACTAATATGAGATCAATAAACTGAATTACATTTGAGGCCAAAAAAAAAAAGGTATAGAAAACCAAACATTACTTGGAAGAGTTTAAAAGTGCAACAGTTGGAGCAAGCAAACAGGATTTAGAATATAGAAATTTTGGGACTTTCGTTTGAATGAATGTCTCATTCGTCCGAACGAAGCCATAGAAGGGCCAATAAATTGAATGCGGTGGTCATTTCCGTTCGAAAGGGGCCCTTTTCGTTCGAACGAATGTTCCTAAAACAATTTTCTTAAAAACTGTGTTGAATCTGGATTTTCGAGGTTTAACCCCCTTAGACTATAAATAGGACACCTTATTCGGGGTTTTAGGATATTTTAAGTCCTTTTAATCTAATTTGGCAAAGAGGGGAGAAAAATCCTAAGTTTTCTAAGGAAAACTCTTGGAGGAGCAAAAGGGAGCTTAGATCTTCCTTCTCAAGCTTGGGATTCATCTTTCAAGCCTCCTCAGCTATTTCTCAAGCTTTAGATTGCAGGGATTCAGTCTTGTGGGGTCGATTCTCTCTACTAAATAGTGTTGTTGTAATTCTTTACTTTCAATTAGATGAAATGCATGTTACTCTACAATGTATTGAAGATTTATCCTATATTATTCAATCTCATAGTGAATGACTCATGAGAAATAGAAATCAAAGCATTTGGATGATGAAATGAAATACGGTAGTCCTATCTAATGATTTAGAAGTGTTCTTTAGTGAAATGAATGATGGAAATGATGAGTTTAATGTAAAGTCCTTATGCATATGACATTAAACTATGTATATGGCGAATTCTTGATGAAAAGGGAATATTGATGCCTTGAATTATATGAAGAACATGTTTAATGAATAGAATTATGAGCCTAAACTACATGTGAGCATGTTTAGAACTATAAATTTATTAATTGAAATGCATATGCTATGTATTGAAGCTTGATTGTGTTGTCCAAGGATGACCGTATAGGGGGGGGGGGGTGAATAGGGTCTATGACAAATTAAATTCCTTCCTAATCCCTTAAGCAGAATTTCAATTATACAACTTAAAAGATAATGAAAATTTTAGCAATTCTTTAATCAATGCAAAGCAATAAAGTAAAGGGAAGAGTTAGAGAAAGCAAACACAAAGATATTTTTCTCGAGATTCGGCAATCCCGCATACGCACCCGCCTCAAGCTATACGCATTAGAGGATTCACCACGATTTATTCAATTGCACGATATTCTTCCGGTTGAAGATCAAATTTTTACACTTGCAAGAGAATCTCATCTCTTAACTTTGTTGCCCAAGGATTTGACCCTAGAGGGGGGGGGAGTGAATAGGATCTATGACAATTTAAATTTCTTTCTACTTCTTTAAGTGGAATTTCAACTATTACAAATTAAAAGGAAATATAAATTATGCAATAAATTCAAAATAATGAAGTAAAGAGAAGGGTGAGAGAAATCAAACGCAATTTGACACACGATATTGTTCTCGAGGTTCGACAACCGCCTATGTCCCTGCCTTAAGCTTCCTGCTCAAGGATTCACCACAATTTACTCAATCGCACAACCTTCTTCTGGGTGAAAACCAAACCCTTACAATCTCTCTTCTGGGTCGAGATCAAACCTTACAAGGGAACAATCCTCCCTACACTTAGTCTACTTTATGGGTAGTGACCAGACCTTACAAAACTCCCCGCTTTAAGGACAAGACTCCTACGGACGTCTTGATTTCACATTTGTATAGAAGTGTTTTACAATAACTTTTTGCTCCTTAACACGAGCTGAATGATCTCTCTAAAACTCACTGAAAATCTCCTAAAGTATGGAGTCAAATAGCTCAAGAACTTGGATTTGGGGATTTTAGGTTAAACTCTAGAGATTTGAAAATCTAAGCTTGGAGTGAATGATTTTAATGATTGGAAGTATTAGAGTTTTTTCAAATTTTCTTAAATCATCTCATTTTATAGCCCAAGAGATTTTATGACCGTTGGGGAAACATCCATAACGAAACTAGCCGTTGAAAACTAGCCGTTACAGAGTATTCTGGTTTCCGCATGAATTTGTTGATGAGATTGTGACAGAATTGTAAAATAGTAGCACTGTGTCTAATTTTGTCGACAAGATTGAATTTCCTGTTCAATTTCCTCGACGAGATTTTCAGTTTTATTTTGAAATCTCATCCTAAATAGACCTTAATGATGAGAATGAATTGTTTGGTCTTTTGACTCATCTTTATCATATTTGTTATCATTCCAAATAATGTCTTAGGGTCTTAGAATATTAATCAAAATTTTCTTATATTCCTATGGTTATTCTAGGTTTTGAGATTTCGAAACAACCAAAACTTTGAGGACTTTTACATAAGTCCTAAAATACTCTCTCACTAAAAACATAAAACATTAAACCTTCTAAGAGATGTTCATTCTTCAACTTGATCATCTTCTTGGATTTGACTATTTTCATGATCCCACTTGGACTTTGGGTATGATCTTCAATATGATCCAACTTGACTTGGTTTGACTTAATGATGAATCTTTTTTGAAGATGGTGTCATTTTCATGTTTTTTGCTTGAATGACTTTGCTAATGCTCTTGAACATTGTTTTTCATAAACACTTAAAAGAGACATTAGTAACACAATTCTCATTTCATTATTGTGTTATCATCAAAATTAATGGCGTTACCTTAGCTTAAAAACTTAAAGGCTAACAATCTACCCCTTTTTGATGATGACATAATAATTGAATGAAATGTGAAAAAGCTCTCCCTCAATATATAAATTCAATTGATTTTTGAGACAAACTCCCCCTAAACATATGCATTAAAAATAAAATTTGAATTCAATTCATTTGCATATAGTTTAGATAAACCATTCACTAATTAATGACACTAATATTTGATTCAATTAGTCTTTACAAGCAA